TCTCCTTCTCCTTCTCCTTCTCCTTCTCCTTCTCCTTCTCCTTCTCCTTCTCATATTCCCAGGCAGACCCATTGGCTTGAGACCTGTTTTTTCCCCTGGACCAGTGATGTGACAGAACCTCTTCCAAGATTCATCAAGCCCACCATTGATGGTGATCCCTTCTTACTTCTTCATGTGAAGACGAAAGAAAGAATACCTCCAAGTAACTCAAGAAGGAAACTCTCCTCTTATTCTTTTTTCTAATCCATGGAAGAAAAATACTGCAGCTGAACAGGGGACTATGAAAATGTGGTGACAGGGAAGATCTGGTTCCTGGGGACACAACTTGCACTTTCTGCCCAAAGCGCTGCTGGCACAAGGTGAGATTGTGCTCCTAAGGACTGGGAACATCTGCCCAGAACATAGACAACTAGAGATTGGGAGGCTGTAGGCCGAGTCATGAGCTCGGAAGAAGAGTACCCAGAAATAAGAACTTCTGCTCTGCTGAAGGAAGTGGGAGGCAGTAGAAGGAATAGACCCTATTAAACCTCTCAGTAAAAGAATCAGAAGGAACATTGACTCATAAATTTAATAGTCTTTGTTCCCTTTACACAGATAGTCGATTTATGGAAAATAAACAAGCTGAATTGGAACTCCTCTGCCTGGAAGGCAAATAGGACTTCATGACTGCCATCAATCATGATGCTGATCAGGGAAGACTTGATCCATTGGTGATGGTCGATCTTTCGCACAACGTGCTTGGCTGGGGAACTATTCAGCTGGAGTGCATGTGCGTGATGCATGTGCCTGAGTGCGTTATGCAACTCCCTCCCATGGGGTTCAGTTAAGGATCAATGCATTTTACCAACACAGGAAAGAGCTAATTCATAAACCAGGTTAAGCATATTTTATAAACATAATTGCATTCCGGGACAAAGGTGGAGTTAGCATGTTGTGTGAAATTTGTTGCTCCCAAGTTTCTATGCTATGTAACCTTTAATAACCCTAACATCCATTGGGAGATTATGGCTGTATATACAGGACATGGCTACACCTAGCTATCTGAATGATGGTTTATTCTGTGGAGTCCTTGGGGTTCTCTGAGCTTGGTTGCTCTCCTGCAAACGTTTTGTTACCTGGCTAGGTAACATCTTCAGTGCTAGCTGGTTTATTCAATTAATCCATTTTCTGTGTTTACACAATAGCCTAAAAGACAGTCAGCTGATTTGCTCCTTCTGCCAAATATGATCTTACCAAGAAAGATAAGAGATTTGTCTGGCAGTTACTTCCTCCTACAGAGGAGAGAAAAGGCAAGGGAGGATCTGCTATCCTCAGCTTAATACTAACTCCAAGGGACGATTTGGAAGTAGCAGGAGCCCCGAGGAAAGGTGACAATCCAGTGGCGGAATTCCAGAGCAGCAAAGCTAAGCAGGATCCCCTGGCAGGAGAAGCGAATAGGAAAAGGGGCTCAAGATGGGTGGGAGTTCCTAAAGGAGATACTGAACAGTGGCAAACAATTCGGGGGGGGGGAGATGAAAGGCAACCCCACAAAAAACGAGTAAGGATCTGAACATGAAGAAGGACCAATGCAGGAAGTGGGAAGAAGAAGGAGAGTAGCTAGAGTGGTGGAGACAGTGCCTGAAAAGCCAACGCTCAGAATGATCTCAGCTTGGCAAAGGATGTTGAGAAGTAGAACAAGTCTAGATGCGTTCAGAATTAAAGAAAAAGGACAGGATCACTAAATGGCTGTGACTGTCTTCGAAGAAACTTAGAGAACAGATTAAGCTCCCAACAAAAAGAGGAGAGTAAATATTGTCCTTATCCAAAAGAACGGAAAAGAAGAATCTGGAGAGCAGCATCAGTGAAGAGTTTAGGGCAGGACATAAAGTGTTCAGACTGTTAGAACCTGGAAAACAACATTGGAATTACCAGAGGTCAGTAAGAATCCATCAAGAACAAATCTTATCATCTTATCATCTAATCTTTCATCTATCTAGAACCTCCTCAGTAGAATTTGAGAATGATGAATAGACCATTGTGACATTTATCCAGCCCATACTTAACCAGCTTGATCATCTTCCTGTCATGGGGTGCTTCATCAAATACGTTGCTGAAACACATATTATGTCCACAAAGCATTTTATATTGTGAGACCAGCCCAAAAGTGCTATCACATCCCCTCAATCATCTTTTCTCAAGACTAAATAGTCCTGGCTCTTTCAATCTCTCTTCACAGCATGTGTAATCTTCACTTTTGAAGATCTGGAATTAGATGAGGAGGGAGGTGGCTGGGTTTACTGATGACACCTAATTGTTTGGAACAGTCAAACGAAAGGGGGGTTGTGAAGAGGTCTTCCCACTGAGTGAAGGGGTCTCAAACGAATAGGTGTAGTTGAAGTGCAATGGGATGCCCATGAGCACCTTGAATCCATGTGATGAACTTATGAGTGATCTGGGCAGGAATCAGCTGGGTTCACCGCTGCTGTCCAAAGAGCAAAGTCCGTGTTTGGGATCATTAAGAAAGGAAAGGAAATAAAACACACAATAGAGTAATGCCCTTATATAAATATGTGATTAGCTCACCCCTGGAGGACTGTGTGTTCTGGCCCCCACACCTGAAAATACATTTTGGTCAGCTGGAAAAGGTCCAGGAAAGAGCAAAACGATTGGAGAACTCGAGTAGCTCTGCCTCAAAGAGTCCGGCTTGTGTAGTTCGGAGTGAAGGTAGGGAAGGAGAGGCGTAGCAGAAGTGTGGAAGACGGGCAAAGAGCCTTCTCCCTCTCTCACAGTGTCAGAATTCAGATCCCTCCATTAAAAGTAAATGTGGAAGTTGAAGGGCCGGTAAAAGGCTGCAAAGAGGTGCAACCAACTCTGGAGGAAGGCCATCTCCCACCCTCCTCTCTCCAGAGGAAACCTCGACTGTCTTCTGGATACAGAGGCCCAATCCTGTTCTGTTCAGGGATCAGCCTACACACAGGACAGCCCAACGCACCGCCCAATCGGAGCTCCGGTGCTGAGAATCTGAAAACTGGAGGTGGTGAAGACTGTTTGGGAGACTGTGAGAAGCAGGGGGTCCAAGGGGCAACACAGTCCAGATGTGGGGATCATGGGAACAAAGTGGTTTAAAGAGAGTCCTCCTTAACTGGCTTGCTCTAAGTCTGCCTGGGAACACACTTGCAGTTTTCAGGATTATGTTTCTGGGGTTTTTCACCCTAACTAGCATTAAAGATGCCTTTCTCAAATCTATGCGGCTTCTGCTTAGGGGACTGACAGAGGGCTAATCTGACTTTTCCAATATGCTACCTTCCCGTTAGGTTGGACACAAATACCATCTTCTCCTCCCTGCACAAAATTGGCTATGCTAGCCTGGCATGAGGGTGGATAGAGACCGGTGGAGACACCCTTGAAATAACATTTGCCCTCAGTAAATAGGGAACCAGTCCAAACAGCCATCTATTAAATTTAGGACTGGCACCAATGGCTTACCCACACCCCAAATAAAAATGAAAAGCAAAGCATCCATAAAGCTGAGAACAATAGATCCGCCTCCGGGATTCCGTGCACTTACAGGCAACCCCTGAGCCACCATCGGGAACCACCATGTCAGGTGGGCATGTTAGAGCCTGGGGGGACGGGGGTGCTAGGGAAGCCGGAAGCGTTAGATCCTTTCAGTCGTGGGCACGTTTTGCTTCTTGCACTCCAGCCCTGTATTAGACACAGCAAGGCGGCTTGCCTGGTGATGAAATGTCCCCCGTTGGAAGACAGTCTTTATTCCTATGTTGAACTAAGCAGATCCTCATTAGGTTGGCAACTTCTTCAATACCCCTGCTGCTGTGTGCTTGGAATGCCAGGCAGCCTGTTCCCACAAAAGGAGCACCCCCGGGAAGCCAGGGGAAAAGCCTGACTATCTGTGTAATCCTTGCCCCTTTTGACAAATCACGCTTGGCAGGAGTGAAGCGATATCAGTCGCCCGTTGGACCAAGAGACAACTAGCCATTTGCAGAATTATGCTTTTCTGAACCAAGAGGATGCCTTCATAAAACCGGTCCTGAAACAGTCCTCCTCGGCCAAAATTACTTTGCAAACTCTTGGCCAGTATCAAGTCTTTGGAGCAAGGAGGCTCAACTCCAGGGGATCAAGAACTGTTGCTTGAAATCCAGCGCTGGGGGCTGCGGCTGCCAAAGGAGAGACAAGAGGAGCGAAACCTGCTGGTTCCAACCCCATGATTTAATTCAAACCCAGTTTGGTGATTCAAAGATAAGCAATTAATTTGGGCTGAATCGGAAAGTGGCTGATTGAAGCTGGGGCCCACATCTAAATAAAAATTCCTGCCTCCTGGAGACAAATGTGGGGGAAATGTGGAGAATGGTATGGCCCTTGTAACAATGGTGGAGACCTCTTGAGAGGAGGAGTCTGCTTAGTTTCAGAGGGGTAGGTATAAGGGTTTTGGATGACATTTTGAAGGAGCATAGTACCCACCAGTGCCTCTGGAAACAGCAGCTATTATAGAATCAGCTAAGAAAACTTCCAAATCTCATAACAGGGATTGATTGATCAATCAATCAATTGATTGATTGATCGATTGATTGACTGATTGATTGAGACATAGCCTGCAGCATTGATGATGTCCCTCCTAAAAAGTCCTGTGACCGGAGAATGACGTTAATTCATTCCTTGGGATTACGAGGCAGGTCTCCCAGCCCCCTCCAGCCCCACCCCGCTCTCATTTAAAACCCACCTGCACAGGAGCAGACCCCCGGCGGCCGAGGGTGCCCCGGTGCTGAGGCCTTTGGCTGTGGACATGCCTGCCGCGCAGCCCTCCCCAAGCCACAGCACGACCCTCCGCCCCTCCCCTCGCCGTGGGTGCAGCGCAGCTGGGGGTCACACCGAGAGCCAGCCACTGGATCGCTTCTCAGCCTTTGCCTGGCGACTGGGAGAGAGAACAAGAGCAGGAGTTCACAGTTCACTGGATCAGGAGTTTTATTCCAGCCCAGCTCTGAATCTTCCTCTTGAGGCTCTCTAGCACCCCTTCCCCACTCTGGAGCCGTAGACCTCCAGCTCACAGAGGGTCAGGTACTCTGCTCGGCCGGGGATGATCACCGTCACGTAGCGCCCTTGAAGTCCATCACAGCAGACGATGCTGAGAGAGCCGGCACTGCCGTTCGTAATGGTCCCACAGCTGCCGAGATAAAAAGTCAACTTACTTCGGTTACCCTTCAACCCCCAAAGACACGAACTGCTGCAGAATCCAGAGAAGCAGAATGTGTGAATGCTGCTGACGCATGTTCTCTACGGCTGCCGGCTGCGCTCAAAGGCTTTGGCCAGAAACCTCCACTCCGCAGATCAACTGGGCTCTGGCGGGAACAGAGTATTGGTGGCCCAGGCTGCACAAATTGGATCTGGATGGAAAACAGGAAGGTGCAAGGAGGTAGAATGCCAAAGCATTTGCGTGTTGAGTTGAGGCAAAGGGTTGCGGTTGAGGAGCTGATGGACAAGAGAATGGTGCAGTTATGAAATCCTGGGGCTGCCAGCACTGGAGACCCGAAGGCAAAAAGGTGCTTCAGGGCCTGCAGGCGAAGCGAGCGGCACTGCTCTGCAAGGACTTAAACCCAGCGTGCATTTTCCCAGACACGCACTGCAGCTGCACTTATGACCATCGCTACAGTTTTGTGAATTGGGACCTGTTGGGAGCCTTGTCTGCCCGTTCTCAAGTCAGAACCCTTGGGTGGGTGGGTGGTCATAAAGGAGAAGTTTGGGTGCTCCTCCTCCCCAGTCTGGCCGTGGGTTAACATGCTTCGCTTTCTCCCGGTCAAGACCTGGCGCCTTCTGAGGAAAGAGGCCTTGCTCAGGGCCCGCTGATGCAGCCCAAAGTACCTCTCCGGGAGGAGTGGAGATTCACAGATCTGGGGTCCTTGAGGCACCATCCCCCTACCTGGTGCCCTCTAGAAAAAGAGGGACTGCAACTCCCAGAATGCTGAGCCTGTGGAGGTGCCGGGTTGGGGAACGCTGGGCTGGAACCCTCCGCTGCTAAACCCCGGCTACCAACCCCTTCTTCCTTGAGAAATCTCAGGGCTGAAAATAATCGGACAGATCCAGTTTGGGCGCCTGGCCAGGGAGGTCCCCAAAGGCTAAAACGAAGTCAAGATGGTGGCTCTATGATGAAGCCCCGCCCTTTTTAATTTTAAATTTTTTTTCCCCCTGCAACGCACGTAGAAGAGGGGTGGCGCTTCATCCACACAAGCGTGGCTACCATCCTGTCCTTCCGGACCCCTCTGGGCAGCCCTGTGCCGCGTGGCTAAGAGGCCTCCCTCGGAAGCAGAGCCGTCCCTTGGCCACCCCGCCCCGGGAAGGGGAGCCCTCTTACACTGGGTTGTGTTTGCCGTGCTGGACCCCGCAGTCTCCCACGCGGATCTGGGCCCCCTTGATCCGCTCAGAGCAGCACTCCTGGCGGTTCTTCACCACCACGGCCGCGATGGTGTAGGGGGCACCCAGGTCCAGGCTCCACCAGGGCTCTTCTTCTGCCATGGTGTGGCTGCAGGAGCCGTGACGCCAGTCTCCGTCACGGTTGCCATCCACGGCGCTGCCCGCCAGGCTGTAGACGTCGCCCCACTGGGGGTATGTGGAGGACTGAGCGGCCGGCCGGCCCCGGGCCCAGTTCCGAGCTGGGGAGCAAAGGGAGAGGTGGGCTGGCTTCTGGGCTGCCCATCCATCCGTAAGACTGGGGAGAACGACGGGCAGGAGAGCCACAGCAAGCCAAGACGGCCCCCTCCATCTCCACCCCGCACCTTAGTGGGACCCCTGTGACAGAGAAGGCCCTCCCCCTGCCTCGGCCCCTGT